GAAGGAAGGAAGGAAGGAAGGAAGGGAGGGAGGGAGGGAGGGAGGGAGGAAGGAAGGAAGGGGGAGACAGAACTGGGTGAGGGGAATAAAGAAGAAGGAAGGGTCAAGTCACATACGTATGATGATACTAGGATGAAAATCATTACTTTGCATGCTAGCCTAAATCTTGTAAATCATTTTGATTTACAAGAGAATTGGAGAAGGCCAGGCCAGGGTAAAGGCACATGCCTTTGATCCTAGTACTCAGGAGGAAGAGACAGGGGAAATCTCTATGTGTTCAAGACCCTACCTGGCTGGTCTACATAGAGAAGTCCAGGCCAGCCTGGGGAATATAGCTTAGTAGTAGCTACACTTGACTAGCATATGGGAAGCCCTGGGTTCAACCCTCAGTGCCACAAAAACAATGCATAGTGAGTGCCTATTGGATACATCACTCCATCCTAGGCTGGGAGTACATCCAAAACATTGTCTAGACAGCAGCCAAAAGCACAGATATGACTTGCTAAGGATCAGCAGACACAGCAGGTAGGTACCACCCCTGAACAAGTCACCGAACACAGAGGCTGTCTGTCCGGGTGGAGCCTGTATCCCAGGCAAGCATGAGAAGCTGTGTTCAAGCTCCCAGAAACACATGTAAAAAAAAAAAAAAAAATGCATGGTACAGCAGCACACACTAACCCTAGTGCTGGGGAGGCAGAGACAAGAGGATCCAGAGTCAGTGAGCTCCAGGTTCACTGGAGTGAACACAGTGAAAGACCTTGTTCTCAGAAAATAGGGTGGAGAGCAATTGAGAAAGACACTTCATGTCAACCTCTCACTTCCACATGTTGCACACACCCACATACACATGTGTACATGCACATGTGCACACCATTAGAAAAACAAAAAAGTAAATTCTAGTGTCCGTTATTTTATTTCTTGATTATGTTTATTTTATGTGTATGAGTGTATTGCCTGCATGTATGTAAATGCACCCATGTTGTACAGTGCCTACAGAGGATAGAATAAGGTGTTGGATCCCCTGAAACTGCAGTTACTAAGGACAGTTGTTAGCTACCGTGTGGGTGCTAGGATTCAAACCAGGGTCCTCTGCAAGAGCAGTTAGTGCTCTTAACTGCTGAGCCAGCTCTCCAATCCCAGAGTTGTTATTTTAAAAATATTCTTAAAGGACTACAACATGTGTGCACAAGCATGCACGTGCATGCACACACATGTGCACAACCAGGCACACAGTGTCTTGATGTCTTAATGTGATGGTTAATCTTGGCTGTCAACATTTAAAATTCATTATTTTTATTTTATGTGTATGAGTGTTTTGTCTGCATGTATGTAAGTGTACCCTTGTGCCCAAGAAGGCCACATGAATGTGTCGGATGCCCTGGAAATGGAGTAAATGGAGTTACTGATGGTTGTTAGTGCCATGTGGGTGTTGTAAACCCAACCCAGGTCCTCTGCAAGAGCAGCCAGTGCTCTTAACCACTGAGCCATCTCTCCAGCTCTGGGATCAACTAAGAGACATACCTCTGTGCAGGTGTGTGAAGGTATTTGCTAGAAGGATTAACTGAAGGGGACAGATGGGCAGCACCTTGCTGCTGCAGCTGGTATATAAAGAGGTCTGGAGGGAAAGCCATTATTTCTTTTGCCTGGCTGCTTTCATTCCTTACTGATAAGCACATCTACTTAGAGCCACCGCTGCCTGGCTGCCCTCCTCCTGACATCAGAGCCCAGTTTCTTTAGCCTTCAACATGGACTAAAGACCTGCAACTCTCCAGGAATCCCCCCCTGCCTATGGCACCACACTGGGACTGCAGAGGCACCCAGCCCTGTGCACCAGGGCAACTAATGGATTAACAACCTCTTCAGGCACAGTCGTTGTTAAACTACTCAACCTGAACTGTGTGAGCTATGCTAATAAATCTCCTCTCTGGTACACATCCATTCTAGAACCCGTCTAGGACTAACACTCTTAAAAAGGAAAAAATAATCCCATTTGAGAAACCTCTGCCTGATTGAGGCCATCCCAAGTTGTTTAAACAATTATAAAGCCACCCTTGCCTCCTTGGCTCTCAGTCAGGCAGTGCGGTGGCAGTAGCCCCTGCCCCCACTCACCTGCAGGGGACAGTTCACCTCCTCAGCCGCGCACTCCAGGCGCCTCTTGATGGTGTCCATGCTGTTGTTCTCATTAAGTAGCCTGTCCAGCTCGTAGCACAGCTCCGACTTCCAGAAGCCGATGTCCGACAGCCTCTGGCCGAGGTTGCGGGAGGTCCCCTCCTGCATCTGGTGCGTCAGCTGGTCCTTATCTTGCATGATCTGCAGGGAGTCTGCAGTCAGCCGGCTGGCCCACAGCCTCGAGGCCTCCGCGCCCCGGACCTGCATCTGGTTGGAGCGCTCCCAGTCGCGGGGAGTGTGGCAACAGAAGGGCGCGGAGCGGAGCGAGGGCAGGATGGTGGTCGGGCGCCGGGAGCCCTGACACTCATTCGGGAAGGTCTCGGTGGCGGCGATCTTGTAGAGGTCGCTGGGTCTCCAGGTGTTGACGTGGCGGTACCCGGACAGGTGGTACGGCTGGTAGCACTCCTGGACCACAGGATCCTGGCCAGAGGGGGGCAGCGCGGGCAAGCCACATTCTTTTTTGGGGCCACAGTAACTGGCGGTCTGAGTGGTTCCAAGAAATTCCATCTCTCCATCCGACCCACGTGGGAAAAACTCTGCCTGGGGGCAAGAGCGTTGCAGGAGCCCTGGGTGGCAGGGCCCCTGTGAATCAGTGCTGATGTCATAAAGCTTAAGAGAGGGTCTCTGAACCTGCCTTCGCTCTTCTCCAGGCTGGTGGAGAGAGGATCTATCATCCAAATCAAAACACATCACCAAAGACTAGAGCGAGTACTGCTCCTCCAGAGGAACCGAATTCGGTTCCCAGCACCCACTTAGGGTGGCGCACAATGTCTGTGATTCTAGATCCAGGAGATCTAGACCAGGGGATGAGTCACCTCTGTCTCTGCTCGCCAAGGATGCCCTCACAGACACACAGAAGTACACACAGTTGAAAATAAAACAAATCTTAAAAAACAAACTAAAAAACAGGTTTGGGGATGGAAAAAAATGGCACATGTCTAGAACAAAATGTCTTTCTAGAACTGAGTCATCTCCGCACAGGGGCTAAATTTAATGTGGTCCACACTGAAGAATCTATCCTCTAGGGACAACAGGGCCAAAGTCTGATTTTCTTTGTTCCCCAAATGGCATGAAAATGGCCCTATCATGCCTGTAATTTCAGCACTGAGGAGGTAGAGGCAAGAGGATGAAGGATTCAAGGTCATCTTTACCTATGTGAGTTTGTGTTTTGTTTTGAGACAGGGTTCCATGTGCACAGGCCGGCCTCAAACTTGCTGTGTAGATGAGGATAACCTTGAACTTCTGATTCACCTGGGTTCCCCTCAGAAGTGCTGAGACTACAGGTGTGCATCACCATGCCCCATTTATGCAGTATTGGAGCTGGGAACCCAGGGCTTCCTGCATGTTAGACAAATACTCTACCAACTGAGCTACATCCCTAGCCTTTGGCTTATGAGTTTCAAGACAGCCTGGGCTACACATGACTGTCTCAACACACACACACACACACACACACACACACACATTAAATTTAGGGAGTTGGAGAGATGGCACAACAGTTAAGAGTACTGGCTGCTCTTGCAATAGACCTGAGTTTGGTTCCCAGAACCCACAGGGCAGCTAACAGCAGTTTATAACTCCAGTTCCAGGAGATCTGATGCCATCTTCTGACCTCCAAGGGCATTATACAATATGGGTACACTTACATACATGCAGGGAAAACACTCATACAGATAAAAGAAAAACAATAAATAAGAGGCAGGCTGTGGTGACACACGCCTTTAATCTCAGTACTCTGTAGGCAGAGGCAGGTGGATCTCTGTGAGATTGAGGTCAGCCTGGTCTACATAGTGAGTCCACGCCAGCTGGGGCTGCAGGGTGACCCTGTCTCAAAAAGATACACACACAAAAAAAGAAGAATAAATAAAAAAATTTTAAAATTAAATGACTCTCAGAGGTACTGGGCTAAGTACACATGGAGTAGTACTCAGCAGTACTAATCCCATCAACATACCCACAGGTCTACTGGGTTAAGAATAAGCATTTAGCATGTAGCAAAGGCTACATGTAGAATGACTAACATTTCCACAATATTCTGGGGGAAAAAATCCAGGAGGCTGAAGACTGACACTGGTTTCTGGGGTCTGAGTATGTAAAACCCATCAACCAAAGAGAAGTGGATTTTACAACTTACAATTTAGGGACTGAAAAAATAAAAACTTTCCTTATCTGTCTTTCCGGAATAAGGAACTGGGAGAAGGATGGATTAAAAATCGGGGGAAGTGCTCTGCGTCCTGGTTGAGGTGGAGATTATATAGCTATTGCTATGTATCAAAGTGCATAGAACTTTCTAGTAAAAGTGAATTGGGATTCTCAAGGTGGCTCAGTGGGTAAAGGTGCTTGACACCAAGCCTGCTGACCCAAGTTCAGTTCCTGGGACCCCACACGGTGGAAAGAGAGACAACTCCTGCATGTTGTCCTCTGACTGCTAATGAGGTTCATGGCATATGCCCCCAATAAATAAGCTAAATGTTAAGTGAATTGTGCATAAATTATACTTCAATATACTGGAATTAAAGACACTAGACGGAGGATTTTGAGTCCCAGGAGGCTGAAGCCATGCCTATTTTCTTTACCATTAAATCCCTGGCATCCTGCACACTATCAGATAAGCAAATGAACATTAAAATGAGAGGGTCACTTTTGCTCTGGAAAAGTGTTAATTCTACAATTTAACGACATTTAATTTTAAACTTTAAATTTTTAAAAATGTTTTTAGTAAATTTTTTTTGTATTTCATACAGAATATCTCAAAACAATCTGAATCATTTTTACAGCCCTGTCCCCACCAGCACCCTCCCGTAGCCCCCACTGGAACCCATTTACTCTGTCTTGGGTGTTAAGGCCCACTGTGTCAAGTCAGTGTCCCCTGACGTTCCCCAGCTCAAGTCCATCTGCTTGCAGTTTAGTAAGATCCCTCTCATCTATCTACCTAAACACCTGTCATTTTCTTTTCTTTTCTTTTCTTTTTCTTTTTTTTTACAGAGCATATGGTGGGGGTTTATTTACAGAGGAGTGGGCATCCACCATTTACAGCTGCACTGGAAAGTCCACACTCAACTATAGATCCTGTAACTTCCCAACAGCCACAGAAAACAGTGAGAGGCATTCTTGACATATATCCCTAGCCCTTCCCCCACATGCAACTAAGGTTGATTGGGTGGGAAGGATAACTGACACTCCTTGATGAGTGTGGGAAGAAGGTATGACTATAGCTTGCTGGCATAGTAGGTTCAACAACAATTTTATACCATCAAATAACTTCCTCCTTCCTTGACTGTTGAATTTATCGACAAAATATTGAATTTAAAATGAGAAGAGTGCTGATGTAGGGGGCTTACCCCCTTTGTGAATAGAGGGAACCTTACCCTCAGTGGTCCTGGTTAGTAGATGTATCAGTCAGCTTCCTGTGACTATACCAAAATACATGAGATCACGAACAGATCAGCAAAAAGGTTTATTTTGACTCATGGTTTCAGAGCCTTCAGTCTGTGATTAAGTCACCCATAGCTTTGGGCCTCTGGGAAGGTCATACAGCATGACAGTACTGTGTAGCTTACACCACATACAGGGGTCAAAGAGAAGAAGAAGGGGCCAGAGGCTCATAATACACTTTGAGAGTATAGCCCCAGTCCCTAAGAACCTTCCACTAGGCACCACCTCCCACAGTTCCCCCCGCTACTAACAGTGTGGACCCTGGGAACTGATAGAATATGTGAATTGCAGAAGAGCCACAAGCTTCATTAGGGAAATCCATAAATCCGTAAAGTGTCTAACTGACCCTAAATTGGCAGCCTGGCTTTACTCAAGCTTTGTCAACTGGTCACTCCCTGGACTGAGAGAGACTGTTTATGGAGCTCACCTGCCTCCTTTAGTGCTATAGATAACTCACCCACCTGTCTGAGAAAATAATCTTGGAAGAAGAGACTCTCAAGGACACCAGACCCTGGCACGGAGTTAACTCTTGCAGCTGTGTGCAGCAGTGTTTCTATATAAGTCCAGACTGTTCCCCATTTCAATGCAGATACTCATTCTGTGTGGAGGCGCTTATCAGCCTTTGCTGGGTTCCTTGATTCCAGGGAACTCATTCCTTGCCTGTGGCAGGTCTGGCTCTGACTCTTATTTCTAAACTTTAAACTCCTTCCTTTTTCTGCCCTCCTATATCTAACAGGAACCAAGTCTTCAAAATGGGCTTTTAGGGGCCGTTCAACATCTGAACTATAGAAAGAAAGCTTCATGTTCAATGGTAATTTTCTCTCCAGTTCCCTAAAATCAGGAGTGTATATGAGAAACTAAAGAAGAGAGGGCAAAAGAAATAACATTTATTAAGCACCTGTGTTGAACCAGTAATTTACATGTACTAATTTATTCTTTCCACAGTGAACTACAAACTGTGAGTCAGGATCTTGCAGGGCAGGGTCCTTACAGGCTCTGGTTCTCTCCTCTCCTATTCTAAGATGAGATGTCGCTATGGGAAATGCCTACACTTGAGCAAAGAATCCATCAAGTGGACCAAAAAGATTCTGAGCGTTCAGGCACCAAGTGTGAGACCCCGGGTATGACACCAGGCCCAGGTGGACACTAGGGACACATTCAGCCTTGGTGAGCATGGTTGGGGTGGGAGTAGACCTTCCAGCACCATAGCCGATGACTGATCCTGAAGGTTGAATTGCCTGACACCCTGGGCTGAGGTGCTACTTGGTATTGGAGGAGTACTTCTGGGTAGACCTGGATAGAACCGGAAACAACAGAAGCAAGGACTTCTTTGGCTCTACCCGGGACACACACACACACACACACACACACACACACACACACACACAACTATGTTCACTGATAGTGGTCATGGAAAATAGTGGAACTGACCACCTACTCCTCGGTAGAAGGCTCTAAATAAAAGACAGAATGCCAGTCTAGGGAACACATTGCAGCATAAAAAGACATCAGACCTGGATTCCCTGGGCACAATTGTGTGCACAGCACAATACCACAAACAATTCAGCTGTTTGGTGTTGTGTGCACACAAACAGGCAGTACAGAGGAAACAGTGCCAGGTGAGGAACATTTGAACCCAGAGAGAGTGGAGTGGGTGGGGCATAGAGGGAGACTGACTTTCCTATCAAATATCAGATATTATACCTACCCATATATTATCCGTAATACACAGTATATAATATTCATGTATCATTTTAAGATTTAAATTTTTATTTTAATTTAAAAAAATTTTTTTTGTCTTTTTGAGACAGGGTCTCCCTGTAGCCCCAGCTGTCCTGGAACTCACTATGTAGACCAGGCTGGCCTCGAACTCACAGAGATATGCTTGCCTCTGCCTCCCAAGTGCTGGTTATTTTTATTTTATGTGCAAGAGTGTTATGCCTGCATGTATGTGAGTGCACCCATGTCATACAGTGCCCGAGAAGGACAGGAGAGAGTGTCGGAAGTGAAGTTACAGGTGGTTATTAGCTGCCATGTGGGTACTGGGAATTAAATCCTGGTCTTCTACAAGA